TTTTCTGCCGGTGCCAACGCCGGTGTTCGACTTGTCGATGCGTTGGCAGTCACCATCGGAACAATTTGGTTTTCGCTTTCAGTCGTCATTTTTTCTGTTAAAAAAAAATAACACAAACAAACGTTTAATACACGTTTTCAAACAGGAGTAAAAATCATGTAGATTTTAATCTCCAACAAATCGCCATAAAGGCTTTACTCTCCAAAATGGGAGTACACAAAACCACAAAGGTTTTAGTTTGCAGAATAATAAGAATAACACAAATACAGAAATAAATATTAAATTCCTTAAGATTGTTAGTCCCTTCAATATTGTTGTATTTGTATNNNAAATGCGGATAATCTTACGTTAATATTTACTATTAACAAATAAATTTGGTCCAAAAAATTAATCCAAATCCAAAGCCGAGCCGAGCGACGACGACGGCGCGAGGCTTGCTTTCTTCTTAACTCTTTAAGAGCTACAAGAAGAGCAATTATATATATACCCACCAAAAATCTCTTCCTCTTCCAATATGGGACAATGTCTCATTGTCAAGAGAGGAAAACTTAAAATTTTACTCAAAAATTTTATTTTTCCTCCATTTCCCATTCATCCTCATTTTAAGACTATTTCATCTTAAAAACAAAAACCTCTAACACATTGTATATGTACAAGCAACTGGTACCCATCTTTTCAAATAGAAATTTTGGAAATTTCATGTCTTAGATGTTGCTATAAAGTTCTGGTTTTAGTCCTTTGTTAGTTCTACCGAAAAATAAATTGATTAAGTTTGGGTTCTCTCAAAAACTTTCCACCATTAAAAGTTAAATATAATGTATAATGCTCCCTCGGCACCTAACAATGAACAAACTCACATGATGTTTGATTAAATGGCCCTTGGGACCCATCAATCTTCTTTTATGTGTTTTTTTTTTTTGAAAATTAATTTGATTGTTCTAAGTTACACCCAATTCTTTAGCCAAAAAATAGCCGAAGAATATTTAATAAATATATAATATATATATATATATATATATAAAATTTATGTATAATAATGTATAATCTATATATACCGGCTAGCAAAAGTATATAATAAATCCGGCCGATTATTTTGGTAAAGATCTCGATTAAATGTCAATCAAAATAACGCAAGCGAAATGTTCTGTACCTAATTAAATATGCCTTTGTCATAGATACAATTTGATTGATTTGATAATCCGAGTCATCAACTCAAGTGGACAAATCTGTTTATAACGAAACTGTCTCTCTTACATATCAATAATTTGAGGTCGTACATCCCTTTAAGGAATCTCAAATTTCAGGTATCTTAACAATTCTAAGTTTTTCCTTTAACGTCAAGTACTACACAATGCTTTTTTGGATTTTAAACATATCCCAAGAAAATTTATATGTTCTGTTTGAGAGATACATTACTTTAGCTCTCGAATTAAAGAAACAAAAAAGAGAGATCAAGAGAATTTTTTTCAAATAAATCCAAGATATTTCTACTCTTCTTGAGAGTTGAGATCAAACACATGATCATCCAAGAATGATATATAAAGAGTTACGGCTCAGCGCATGATCAAACTAGATAATAGTAGTATGCTTTTTTCCCTTGCTCTCATTATAGGAAACATCAATAGTTAATTTACAGTTTATTTTAATTGGTTTCGTAGGCTGTAGCTGTTATAAACTACTAAGTGAAAAAATAAAAAAAATCATCCATCCTACAACTGATAAAAGATGATTGCAGCAACTGATAGAATATACGAAAGATAAGTTGGTCAAAAGTTTTTTTTTTTTTTTTTTTGCATAATTCGGAAGAGGTTCTACAAATGACAATGCTAACTTAGTGTGTTTTAATATTTAATTTATCATTAATTATTTTTAAATATGTATTCAGTTGAAAATACCTTTTTTTTAAAACAAATTTGTAAGCAATGATATGTATTATTTGGGCGACACACGACCAATAAAGTATAAACCATAAAATCGGCAATTTATTTCCTTGACACTTGAATTATCCAAAATAACTTTTAGTATAAATTATATAATTTATGTAATCCCCAAGAGTTTTATCTTCTTTTTCACCCATGAGAGTTTTATCATTCACCGAGAGAAAAGAGTAACATAACTAATATTAGTAGATAAAAAACATTTTTAAAAACATACGCACCCATTAGGCCATGGGCGCCTTGTTACGAAAAGCAGCAAATAGTTTTTTTAATAGACAATAAAATGAATTCTTTTGAAATGAGGGAGAATTAAGTAACTTCCGGCTAAGATCCAATGTATTCAAAACGAGCTATAATAAACCAAAAGGTTCTAATCCAACGTTGTCTTCTTAAATTTTTATTTTAGTTTTAAGGTTCTTTTTCCATAATATGTAATATCTATACCAATCACTAAGTTCTTTTAATAGATCTGTAAAAAACTACAGTACTAAATTTGCAATTGTACGTAACAAAAGAAAAAAAAGAGGTTTAGATTGACTTCAACTAACACTTAAGAAATATTTCTTTATTTTAACTCCTTTTCCATACAGAAGGAAATAGGAGAAATACTCAAAACAATTTTCCTCTTTTTTTTTTATTCCATTTATGTAAAGATAAATCTTGCTCCAGGGCCGCTTTGCACTTTATATATTGAATTCCTTTTTCTCCTTAACAAAAACAAAGGAAAAGAAGAAAAAAAAAACATATAACTTCTCTTATTTTTCGTTCCATTCTCTTCCTTCCCGTGGAAGAGAAGAGAAAAAATCAAAGTAAGTGATACCTATTACTCCGTTGGAAATTGATTTGTCTTGTTCGATTGCTTTAATACTATTATTATTAATTAATTAATTTTTTACTTTTAAATCTGTCAAAAGAAGAGAACAGAGAACGTTTACCTAGTTGAAACTGTACATTTGGATCCATGCAAATCATAAAAGAAAAGACTCAGACCGACGTAGCTTTAAAAGCCAGAGGAACAAGGTTATCCACATTTCAACAGCTAAAACCATTACAGCAACATGTTTGATGCGAATGTTATGTACGACAACTTGATTAAGGACTCTGAAGCAGAGTATATACCAGATGCTGATCTGCTATGTAGGCAAACAAATCAACCATAACCTGCTAGGAACATATCAAATTGCATACATCCTGAAACCTTGCCTCTGAAATGTCAGTGAAGGGAAAAACTCTGAATCTACCAGTATTTGGACAACTCAAAGTCAGATGTTCCGAGTTGACCATCTTCTGCAGTATGCAAAGCAAGAATTAGTCACCACTGCTAAATGTCTTCTTTTAAGATATGTACTAGTTAAATTGCAAACGAAGACTAAGTGTATCCAAATTTGAGGATTATTACTATTAGGAAAGACGAGTTTCCTGTTTGCCGGTCAAAAAATAACGATTACAAAGAGTAAAGAAACGAGGCCAACAACAAGATGTATTAAGGGACACTGACTGAAATGTAAGATAATAGTTGGTTGTCCTATAGTTGCTCAAAACTCACTTTTTCCTGGCAAAATAGCAGCCTTACGATTACCCTCTTCAAAGCATCACCAATGTTTAGACCAATAATCATGCTATTGGTAGTGGGGATGGATGGAGCAGTCTTTCAAAGTGAAGAACCAAGAATCTTTCTTAGTCTTAGTTAATAAACAACATAACTACAACCACTAATATCTTTGGCCGAAATTCCCTTCTCATAATAGGATCAAGTTATAACAGGATACCTCACAATGAAATGCCTTGTCAATGCAGCTCCACCATTTGGATGGAACGCAATCAAGGTAGTGACACCAGCTACAGTACTTGTTTGCATCAACCCTATGCAGAACTGCTATTATAATTCCAGCAAGCCTGTATTTGGAGTGACAGCAAGTCAAAGCCAATTATCTTAGACAATTATAACTAGCCTAGGAACTAGTTCACTGTGAAAATGGATGCAAGGAAAAATGGAGCAAGAGTTAAACCATTCAAGCAAAATTACAGAGATGGAAACTCACAGAAGAGCAAAGATAACAAGGACAACACCCCTCTGAACAGGCTTGTCCAAAGTGTTCCTACGCTTGACAATGTGCTTGGCATCAAACTCAAATATGCCTCCCTTATTACGAGCTAGTTTCTCTTGTTGAGGTCTGAACAAGAGCACAAACCCCAGAAGGAATCCTGACATAAATCCTCCAATATTAGCAAAATTATTGATGTAAGGTATCAGTCCAAGGACAAGAGTTGTCATCAGGATTGTCATGGTAGCCACTAGCCCTGCAAACTGCAATCAGAAGTGGGGAAATGACATTCTATTTTACATGACAGCTGAGAATGAGAGGAACAATAGCTAAAAGATTTCAGGACCTTATTGGTATAAAGGTTCCAATTCCTGATGACGCTAGAGAGCAGTGTACCAAGCAATCCAACCAATGCACCAGAGGAAGAAACTGATGGCCGATCCTGAATGAAAAGTGCAGCAACTAGACTACCAGTAATCGCTGAGAATATGTATATAACTCCAATTCTTACTGCAGAAATCGGAGCATCCAATAAAAAATCCAATAAAACTACTTTCTTGCTGAATGGATACACATTAAAGAAATTCTTACGTGGTCCAAATTCTTGCTCCAAGTGAATCCCCACAAAGATTACAGATGACAAGTTGATGATCAGATGGAAAAGCCCTGCATGCAACCATGGGCTTGAGAAGATACGCCAGAGTTGATGATTACTAGTCAACAAAGTCTTCCTAAGCGCTCCAATTTCATCCAACCTACATTAGAAAAAGATTGTATGTGTTACTGACAGCAGTACTTCCTCAACATAATAACAGGTGCAAGAGAGAGGGCTTCTATAATGCAAAGTTGAAACAATGACATGTTAACATTAACATAGAGAATAAGATGCCTTAGTTAATAACATCAAGAATAAAGAAGTTTCAGGGCAGGTATAAAAGCAGGAAACATTCAATTTGTTTGAGAGTTTAGAGATCCATATATTATCGAACATGTAACGTGATTAATTGATTCTAAAGCCTGAAAAACTGCAACAAGCAGAAGCTAGAGGTTCCATAAAGAACCAAGAAATATTTTTGAAACAGTTCATTACATTACATCTGTAGATATGCCAAGTGTTCATGAGAATGCTGATATCAGTGGAATGTATAAGAACATATAAGATTGACATCCCCAACTACAATTTTTTCAGGAGTAAAGCATCAATTTCCGCTATAAACTAACTTTTCAGAAGGAGAAAAGGATCAATCCACATAAAGCTAATTTACCCAGGCAGAAGTACTAGTTAACCACTCTGTCTAAGCAACTAAGATTTGGCAATCTCTTAACATTTATTTTTTTTTGGATAACCAAGAGGTCCCGACTCCCGAGGGCAGCTAGGGCACAGTTGTAAACTCAATGGATAATCTGCCCGCCCCTTTACACTTTTCTACTTAAATACTAGGTTTTTGTGTGCCACAAAGTTTGAACTCGTGACGTGCGCCTAACTACACATCACGAGCTGCATTCTTACCGCTATTACAGAGATTTAGCAATCTCTTTAACAGAATTCGTACTGTCTTGCAATAAAACCCGTCAAAATAACAGCTCATCATAACATCAAAACCGCAACAAAGTAGATGTACAAGTATACCAAAATCAAATTCCAGCAACAATTCAAATCTGATAGCAACTCTTCTCCTGTATAAAAAGAAACCATCTCAAATTCCATTAAGTCTGATTTTCAAATTCACAGGCTTAAATCCATGATATGCCTAAGAAAACAGTAAATCCTAAATAACTGACTAATTAAGCGAATAGGAATTTAACAATATTCAATAAAATAGGAGAAGAAATAAAATTATTATGAAAAAGAAAAAGGGAACTGACGCAGAAGCTGATGGGCCGAGCAGTGGATTCTCGGAGAGGGGCTGAAAAGAGAAACGACGAAGAGGTTTAAGGGCACAATCGCCATGTGAATTCTCCCAGCAGTCATTAACGATCATCGTAGCGATGAAAGAGCCCAAGTGAAGGATCACAAAGAGAGAAATGATCCACGTGTTGGCTCCCTTCTGAGACAACGGCTTAAAGAACGGGAATGGGACTCTCTCTTCTTTCAGTAGTTCCTCCGCCGTCAGCTCAGTCGAGAATCTCGCCGCCGCCATTTGTTGCTTGATTTCTATCTGTGTTTGGAATTTCGAACTCTCTGCCATTTATTATTTCCAGTGGGAATTCAAGCAGTTCTATCAAAGAATTTAATATTTGCTCGTGAATCTGAAAATATGATATTCTTCGATTGAGAGGCGGTGGGCAGTTGGGGATGAGATGATCAACGAGATAAAGCATAGGAGCATCGNGGGGGGGGGGGGGGTAGGTTGGCGGGAAGATGCTAAAGCGAATTCATATGAAAGGAAAATTTGAAAAAAGAAGAAGACATTTTTAGTTACTCCATCACCAAGGTACATTTTGTAACGGGGTTAGTTATAACAATATTGTGGCTTGGATATTTCTTCTAACACACACTGGCCAAGTTTGATAAAAACAAAATTTATTTCAAAATTTAAAAAAAATTATTTAATTTAGCCAAGACATTTTCCAAAGGAGAAATGCCACAATATACTCCATTAAACCTCTATCTCTATTTGTTTTAACATTTTCTAGAGTTAATTGCATAAGTTATTCATTGAACAAAAGAAACATTTTGAAGACATGGAAGCTACATAAAAAGATTACTCCATTACTTTAGATATTTCTATGTTGTATTTTACGGCCTAAACTTGTCCTGAAAAAATTGCTTATTCACCTAAGTTACCCTTTACGGCTAATCCTTGTTCAAAGTATATCCATGATCTTAGCGAGATGATGTGGCAAAGAAAAATTTCTCCCCTATTAAATGCACGTGAGAAACTTAAAATATGTTAAAGCTGGATTGAAATTGTAGCTTTTCCTTCTCCTAGACTCCTTCTCCCTTCTCCTATCCTACCTCTCCCACAGGCAGATTTAGCACTTTCCGCGGTATTTAGCACATAGCAGTCTACCGGTACTGATTTCTGGCAGTTCCGCTAATCTTTCTATAAATTCCATTCCTAAAAAATCCGGCAATAGTTGATTGCTTGGTTTATCTAATCTTGATAAATAAAAGGAACCCGCTCTTATTCCACACAGTCAAAAATAAAACTTCATGTGTTCAAATTTTAGGGGTCGTTAGCTAGAGGAACAAGCTATTCTCGGATTATAATGATGAGATTATAGTATGAGGATTCAATAATGACAGGATAATTCAGTAAATATATTTTTATTGCAAGATGTTTAATTTATTGGATAGAAATAAAATATACAGGTGTATAATTGTATAGAGTAAAATATTAAATGATCGCATAAGGAAGTGACATGTGGAGCCGAAGGCAGAGAATAGTTGAAACTGAAGGCAACTATTCCTTCTGTTACCGGAAAGAATGATACTCATAAAAGATGAAATAAATGTCTGCCACCCAGTAGCGAGCACCAGAATTGATCCCGAAGCGGTTTAAAATGCCCAACATGCCAAAATATGATGGGACTTCAGACCCTAAGGAGCATATTACCACCTATACAATGGCGGTGAAGGGGAAGGATTTAGTTCCCCACGAGATCGAATCAGTTTTGCTGAAAAGATTCGGAGAGACTCTCACGAGGGGAGTCTTGACGTGGTATTCGTTGTTGCCTGAGCATTCCATAGATTCTTTTGAGATGCTCGCGAATTCATTCATTAAGGCCCATGCTGGGGCCCAGAAAGGTATAGGTCCGGAAGGCCAACATATTCAGAATTACATAAGGAGAGTCCGAGTTGCTGCGGGAATTTGTAACCCGCTTCCAGAAGGAAAGGATGTTGCTCCCAGCTATTCTGAATGAATGGGAGGCTGAAGCATTCACCAAAGATTTGAATCCGAGAAGTTCCGATACTTCCCAGAAATTGAAGGAAAGCTTGCTCGAGTTCCAAACGACGACTTGGACGGACGTTCACAACCGGTACGAGTCAAAGATAAGGATTGAGGATGATCAGCTCGGCTTCCCAGCGTCGGTTAAAGGTCAGAAGAAGAATAAAGAGAAATCAAAAGATGATTTCGACACAGATAGACGATCTTCGAGGGGCCATTTTTTGCCATATGAACGGGCCGAAGGACGCAGAAGAGGTTTCTGGTTGGCAGACAGGTTCGTTATTGATATATGAACTGATCGCGACCGGAACAACAGATCATTACAGGACAAGGAAGCATTAGGTTCTCGAGATCCTTCATACCCCAGACTTTCAGAATACAACTTCAAAGTCAGTGTAGTAGATTTGGTGTCGGCTATGAGGAACATTAAAGAATTACGGTTTCCGAAGCCAACGAGGTCAGATCCCAGCAAGAGGGATCTTTATTTGTGGTGCGAATANGGGGGGGGGGGAACGAGATTAACGAGGTTACCTTCTTGGCAGCAAAAAAGACGAAAGTAACAGTAACCCACAACAATAGGCTCCGAAAAATCGCTGAAGACGACATCACTTTCACGGAGGAAGATGCAGACGGATTGTTACTACCGCAAAATAACACATTGGTAATTTCTTTAAATGTATTAGATTTTAAATCAAGCGTGTTCTAGTGGATCCAGGAAGTTCGGCCCATATTATACAATGGAGGGTATTAGAACAAGCCAAACTTATCGGAAGCATCATTCCGGCCACAAAACTCCTCGCCGGGTTCAACCTCGCAAGTGTGACAACCCGAGAAGGGATACTGTTTCCCACAAATGCCGAGGGGGTGATAAAGATGACCTTTTTCGAGGTTGTGGATGGTGATATGGGCTACAACATTATCCTGGGAAGACCGTGGTTTCACGAAATAAAAGTTCTCCCATCAACGTATCATCAGTTGCTGAAATTCTCATCTCTCGAAGGGGATTAAGCAGATTAAAGGCGATCAACCGGCAGCAAGGGAAAAGAATGTGATTTCGGTCTCTAGTAGGAAAGGGAAGGAGCATGCGACATAGCAATTACAGGAACCGGCGCCTGCTATCGAATCAAGTGAAGTCAATGAGGGGGAAGAGGCGTTAGAATCTTATCAGGTGCCAAGATATTTCCAGGTACCAGAAGAGACAGACGCAACGAAGTCCATAGCAGAAGAGCTTGAGCAAGTCCCATTGTTCGAAAAGTTCTTGGAGAGGAAATTCTACTTGGGGACAGGATTGCACCCCGAGCTCAGGTCTGGGTTTATTGAATTTCTTAAATTTAATGCTGATTGTTTTGCGTGGTCGCATGCTGATGTGACAGGTATCCCGACGGAAGTGGTTGTACACAAGCTAAGCTTGGATCCCATCATCCCTACGATAAGACAAAAGAAACGTCCTATTGCCGAGGCCAGAAATAAATTCGTCAAAGAAGAGGTAACTCGCCTACTTGATATCGGTTCGATCCGAGAGGTAAAGTATCCGGACTGACTAGCTAACGTAGTAGTAGTTCTGAAGAAGAACAATAAATTTCGCATGTGCGTAGACTATAAAGACTTGAATAAGGTGTGCCCAAAGGACTCGTTCCCACTGCCAAACATCGATCAAATGATTGATGCAACGACTGAGCACGAGTTAATGAGTTTTCTCGATGCTTACTCTGGGTACAACCAAATTAAGATGAACCCGGAGGATCGGGAAAAAATGAATTTCGTCACATATTGCTACAATGTGATGCCCTTCAGGCTAAAGAACGCCGGAGCTACTTATCAGCGGCTCGTAAATAAGATATTTGAAAAGCAGATAGGGAAAACCATGAAAGTTTATATAGACGATATGCTTGTTAATTATTTGAATGCAGGTGATCATCTTAAGCACTTGCAAGAAAATTTTGACATCCTACGGAAGCATAACATGAAGCTTAACCTCGAGAAGTGCGTGTTCGGGGTCAGCTTCGGCAAGTTCCTAGGATTTCTGGTGTCACAAAGGGGGATTGAGGTAAACACCAATAAAATAAAATCCATCGAAGATATCCCGGACCAGCTATCAAGCATAAAAGAGGTTCAAAGGCTCACATGGAGATTGGCCACTTTGAGCAGGTTCATTTCCTGGTCATTAGAGAAATGTCATCATTTCTTCGCGCTACTAAAAAAGAAGAGCAATTTCGAATGGACTTCGGAATGTCAGCACGCTTTGAGGGATTTGAAAAGGTACTTGTCAAGCCCTCCGTTAATATCAAAGCTGGAGGAAGGTGGAAAATTGCTAATCTACTTAGCAGTCTCGGAGGTAGCGGTAAGCGTTGTTTTAGTCCGTGATGATTAAGGTACACAATCTCCCATTTATTACGTTAGTAGAATTTTAATGGGAGTAGAAACTCGCTACCCGCATTTGGAGAAGCTGGCCTTAGCTCTCGTATTTGCCGCTCGAAAGCTAAGGCCTTATTTCCAATGTCACTTGATAGCTGTGGTGACCATTTTTCCCCTGTGGAATATCCTTCATAAACCTGAACTATCAGGTAGGTTGGCCAAATGGGCCGTCGAAATGAGTGAATATGACATAAAATATAATCCTAGGACTGCGATTAAGTCAAAAGTGTTGGCCGACTTTGTGGCCAATTTCAGTCCGGGATTGCTGCCTCTGGCAACCAAAAAAGCAGTGATGGTGTCAGAATCGACATCAGGAGTTTGGACCGTATTCACGGACATAGCTTCCAATATAAAGGGGTCCAGGCTTGGCATAGTATTAACCACGCCTTCGGTAGAAACCCTAAGGCAGGCCATAAGAACAGTTCATTTAACTAACAATGAGGCAGAGTATGAAGCTTTGATTGTAGGACTCGAATTGGCCCGGGGACTAGATTTTGAGGTAATAGAAATCAAATACGACTCCCAGCTGGTGGTAAATCAGGTCTACGGGATCTTCGAAGACAAATAAGAGAGCATGCAACAGTACGTAGCGAAGGTTCATGCTCTTCTCTCTCGGTTCTGGGAGTGGTCAATTACGCATATCTCGAGGGAAGAAAATGCAGAAGAGTACGCATTAGCTAACCTTGGCTCATCGACAGAAATGAAGGGATCGAACTCCGGTACGATCGTACAACTTATGCACTCAGTTCTGGACACAGACAATTATTATGAGGTAAACACGACTAATTTGGTATGGGACTGGAGGAGTGAGATCATTGATTATCTCGAGCACGGGAAGTTGCGTGAAGACCCCAAGGCATCCCGGGCACTGCACGCTAAAGCAGCACGATATAGCTTCAAAGGAGGCCAGTTGTACATGGAATCTTTCCAAGGCCCGCTAACCTGATACTTGGGAGCCTCCGAAGCTAATTATGTTATGCGAGAAGTCCACGAAGGG